AAAAAAAAAAAAAGTGTGTGAATGTGTGTGTGTGTGTGTGTGTGTGTGAATGCTCCTTATTTTTTTTTCGGGGGTGGGTGGGGGAATCCCCCTAACCACAAACTCATAAGGGTCCTCGCAGCCATGTGGCTCAGATCCCCCACCAAAGAGACTCTGAAAGGTCCTCGCAGCCATGTGGCGCAGAGCCCCCCACCAAAAATCAAGGCAGGCAGTGAATATGAACCATAGCAGGAGCTGGGCGATTATATACTCAAGATTCGAGTTCAGGTCTGTGTTTCAGCAGTTATGGGTTGCTCACGTAGCTAGGCCTGTGATTCTCAGGGCTTGGCTGCASTWCTCACCAAATGTGCAAAACTAGAATGAATCTTCTGCAGAACGTGGAATAATACGCCGCCATATGTTTTGTCTTTTTTTTTCTCATTCTTCTTTTCTTTTGTTTTCTTTTAGGGCCACTGCACGTATTCCTAAGAAAAGAAAAATGAGAAGAAAAGAAAAATGAGAAGAAAAAAAAAAATGAGAAAAAAGATAAACGAGAAAAAAGAAAAACAAAAGAAAAGAAAAACGAGAAAAAAAAAGACTGAGAATCACGGGCCTAGCTACGTGAGCAACCCAAAACTGCTGAAACACAGACCTGAACTCGAATCTTGAGTATATAATCGGCCAGCTCCTGCTCTGGTTCATATTCACTGGCTGCCTTGATTTTGGTGGGGGGGTCTGCGCCACATGGCTGCGAGGACCCTTTAGAGAACCTGCATGGGGCGTCTGAGCCGTGTTTGGGGGATTCCCCCAGCCCCCCCCGAAAAAAAAAAGGAGCATTCACACACACACACCCACACATTCACATACTTTTTTTTTTTTTTTTTGCCTCGTTTTGTCTGGAGCATTGGCCCACAGGCCCCCCCAAGCAGTGTCGCCGCTCCCTACGGGGTGGTGAGCCTCCCGGGGGGTGTTTTTTGCACTTCATGGTTTGTTGAACGAGGCCCTCCACCCCGTATTCCGCAACGTGCGCGCGCGCCCCCTTGTGTCATGTTCAAATTTTTCACGCCACGTGGCGCGACGCGCGTTTGAACGCGATTGAACGAGACCCAGGGGGGTATGAACGCGCGCGTTTGAACATGGACGCACGTTCAGCGCGTTCAGCCAGTTGTACAACATGACATGGCCGTGGACTGCGATGGTGGTGGGGGCGAAGATTGCACGTCAGATGACGACAACAATGACAACGGGGCGAACGATGACGGGGACAGGGAGGCTCGTCCGCTTGGGAGGAAGCATGGAGGTACTCGGGCCACAAACAAGTCGATGAAACCGTGTGCAGGGCGGAAAAGCAAGCAGGTTGTGGATGACACGTCCATAGGCGACGGGGGGAAAAGCATGGATTTTTGGACCGTCGATCATATGATCGCTCTGGTCTGGGCGAAAAGAGACCAGGATTTGCATCTCGCCAGGCTAGGGCACAACTACGGACGGATGAAGTCGAGGACGTGAAGGCGGGGGTGACTACTAGTAAGGCGGAGGAGTGCGGGATAAAATAGGACAACCTGTACCAGCAGTTCAAATCCTTGCACAGATTCATGGGACAATCCAGGAAGCAAAATTTCTTCACACTTATGCCGGTGGAGAGGAAGGAGAAAGGGTTCGACTTTCGGATGGATGAGCGTGTGTATTCCGAGATGAACATGGTGTCGAAGGCCAATCACATCATTCACCCGGTGAATCTCGCGGACACGGGTGCGGCTGGAAGGGTGCATATGGCCGGGCCAGGTGGCAGCCGGAACAAATCCGCGGCTAGGGAGGGATGTGGGGATGGACACGATGACGATTAGGGATCGGCGAGGGATTCCACGTTCAGTGGTGGTAGTGCAGGCGGAGGCGGCAAAAGAAGGAATGTGAGACAACAGACATTCGATGAGATCGCCGATGTTATGGATAAGCACGGGAAGCTGATGGTGACGGCGGTGGATAACGCGATCAAGAGGCAGTGTTCAGTTCTGACGAGGCAATGCGACATTCTCGAGCGAGAGATAGAGGTGTAGAAAGAGCACTACGAGAAGGTCGACCAGACGAACCTGATGACGTGCAACGCCCTTTTGGAGATCGTGAAAGCGATCTTAACATCTGTCGGCCACTCGTCTCCGAGGTTGGCGCGATCGCCACGTGTGCGTTTTGGGAGCATTGCCAGCATCGTTGTCGTCGTCCTGCGTGCTGCAGTGTGCCGCGGTGGAGGTAGTGTAGACATAGGAGGGGCCGTTCTTGCCCATCGCATTGTTTGATATAGGTATTGTTTGATTAATGTTTTTAAGTATTCATTGTTCGCGTGCCCCACAGAGCGGCACTCGGTGTCGTTTTCGTGCGTTGCGGCGCATTTCCAAATTGCTCTTAGAAAAGTTGCAATAATGTCGACCTTTTTTAGGGCTGTCAATGTAGATTGTCTTCGCCGAGTAATGTTGCGATCCTGGACCGATGAACACGTTGCATGATGTGAAATATGTATTGTCGGTTTGTTTTTATTTCGCATTGAGTTCGATCTTCGTTTTGAAGGAGATTGTCGACCGTCTCAGGATGTGCTGCATGAATGGAACACAAACGGATTTTGTGTTGTTTTTTTTAGTAGTAGTATTTTTTGTTTTTTTTGTGGGGGGTTCCTTTTCATCTTCTTTTTTTTGTGAATCTTTTGTCATTGTTTTGTTTTGTCGTGATTCTGGATCCTTGAAACGTGGTCGGTTTGAAGTCGCTCTTTTACTTTTGTCCTTTGGTGATAGATGAAGCCTCATGGGGGAGGCGGAGGACGGTCCCGGCCGTGCCTGAAGCCCATCGATGTGCCTTGCCTCACTTAAAGCCCGTGGAGGAGAGGGGGGGGGGGGGGGGGGGGGGGGGGGGGGGGGGGGGGGGGGGGGGGGGGGGGGGGGGGGGGGGGGGGGGGGGGGGGGGGGTGATATGGGCGACATCGGGTGCTACGTGTTTTTGGGGGTGGCAGTGTAGGGGTGGGTGGCAGGCTCTTTAGAGCACCGCCAGGGTCCTCCTGCGCACCGACACTCAATGTCGGACCAATGAAACGATGACCTTCATTGGGTGGGGAAAAATGGTATGCACATGGTCGACGGACGGGCGGGCTTTAGGTACGGCAAAGTGCAACCATAGTGTGGTGAGAGACTGCACATGGTACAAAAGGACAATCTGGGCGCCATTCCGTACCGCGGTCCTTCCATTGCCACGACTCCAGAGGTACCTCGTGTGAACTGCCCTCTCGTTGTACGCCTCTGCATCCCGTTCGACGCTCGGAGCCTCCACGTCATCTGCTCTCACTTTCTGGTGGACCTTTGTGCTCGTCATCCTCGAACCTCCTACGTGGCCAGTGCCCACTGCCCTGTAGTACGCGCTGTCCACATCCTTCCTTTCCGTCGGCCGTCGAACATCGACTTTCAAGTGCCCTTCGTGGTCGTCCGCGTCGCACCTCAGCACACCTTCATCGACCACGTGGCAAGGGGACTGAAGTTGTGTCCAAATGGCACCGTGGGGCACGACAGGAAAGGTCAGGAGAGATAACGGTCCTGGTGAGGGGGGGAAGGCCAGAAAGGTCGAGGCCACGTGCCCAAGTCGAAAAGGTTACGCGTTGATGCGGCTAGCTCGGAGAATGATGACGAATTCCAATCAAAGGAAGTTGTGATGGTGGACGTGCAAGGGATGGGGGGGAGCCAGCAATTGGGTTTTGGGCGGGATGGAGTGTCGAGGGATCAACTGGCTGGTATCAAACAAGTCGTCGTTGGTGGTGCCGTCGGAGCGTCGCCTAGGACAAACAAGGCACAAGGGATTCTCATCACTGAGGCGCGGCTGCAGAGGCAAGTTGCGGGGGTGGGTGAGGCGACCACCAGCGGCGTTCACACACCGATCATCCTGGTAAGGGGGGGAGGCAGACTAGACAAGGCAGTGATCGGGGCCGTCCAGCCACGTCAGGCACACCCTGCGCAACAGGCGCGGGGTTCAAGTGCGGCGATAACACCGCCCCCACAAAAGAAAGTGGACGTAGGCGGCAGTCGAACGTTATCATGAGATCATCACACTTCTGCAAGCGGAGTCGCGGAAGGTGTGGTAGAGGGGAGGGTCGATCACATGCGCCGTGAAGATGGTAAAAGAGATGGACGACGGGAAGGCGACGATGACGACGACCGACCCCCTGTCAGCAGGCGGAAGAGAACAGTATAAGTGGTTGATCTGGAGACGAGGTCGAAGTTGTAGGTTGATTGCGACGCTTTTTGTGGTCAACGCCCCGAAAATCATTGAGGGAGGAGATTGTCGATTGCACGAACTACTTTGTCGCCATCGCCATCGGAGATGCAGGGTCGAACCACCATCCATGCTCATCATGCCGACGAACGATGTGCCACGCTTCAAGATCGATGATCCAGCGCAGCGTGAACCGGCTTTGCGCAGAGCGTGCATCATGGAGAAACTGGTAATGCGCATCATCCACGGGAGGATCTTCAAATCATCGTCGAGGTCGAATGGCTTCACTCGTGGGGAGTCTACATCACTGTCAACTACGCTACCGACGTCACACGAGCTATTTGGCGGGGGCTGGAATGGTCGAGAGTGGTTTCCCCATCCCTCATTTACTACACGCTGCAGATCAAGATGGACGTGGCTTTGTGGTTCGTTGGGGTAAAAATTATGGACAAACCTGAAGATGATGACAGGAGGCAACAGTTCTTCGTGTGGTGGAGTGTTGGACAAATGTGCTTTGGTGCAGTCAATGGGCGGACGGCGGCAGAAAAACTCACGGAAGGCTGGGTAGCATGAAAAACTCGGGTTTACCTCTTCGAGTATGCAATGCAAATCTATGGATTTCATTAAGGAATGTGTGTGTCGAGGACTTCGATTTGTGTGCAAATGGTTGCTCACGTCCCAGTGTTTTTCTTATCTTCTATGTGGAATTCTCGTGTCGACTACGGGTGAATAACCATCTCAATGTCATGGACATATTATCACTTATGGTGGCCGTCACGCACACCACACCGCGGATGTGTTAACATCGCCTCCACCTGACAAAACATAACCCCCAAAAAAATAACACAACAAAACGTGCGATGACGATGTTGTTGCTGAAAGGACCCAAATGTGACAAGATGAACTTGTTTTCTTTTTTTATGGCATGCAAGTCGCGTGTGGAACAACAACACAACGACGATCTACAATTGGAAATGCAAACAAGCACAAAAGAGATACATGAAAAAAATCTCATACACGAGACAATAAAACAAACCCGTCGCTCAGAAGGACACAACCAGACACAAGAAGACGACCTCACACACAAGTCCAAAAGAAGAACTCATTCTTGTACTTGAGAAATCGATTCAGCGCTTCGAGAAGCTTTCGTGGAGAGTAACCAAATATTTTTAAGCACGTGCAAACATGGATAAGTACGTGAACATAAACACCACACCGGGCTCCTGCCCGCCTAACTCCCCCACCTGATATAGCAGACTTGCGCACCGCCCTAACCACCGCCACCCGCCACCACACCACCTCCACTCCCCCACCCCAAATCCCCCAATCGCCAGAAACGCGGCGAAAAGAAAGGTATGGTGAAACCATTAAAGAAAAGACGCAACTACAACGCGAGGAACTACAACAGTCCTCTTCACTACAAGCATCCACCCAGATGATCGACGAATGAAACACCCTCATTGTCGTCGTCTACAATTATGAGGACGGTCAAGCAAGCCGTCCTCGATGGAAGAAATGTCCAACACACCATTCAAACGACGAAATATCTTCCGCCCTTGAAAACCAACGAAGCGAGCACTCCGGATTGATGACGGCGAGACAGGACATGAACATGGTACTTTCATCGTGAGAAACAGCCAGGTCGTATCGCGGATTACATGTGCTTCATTCACTCTACGAGAACGTTGAGAGTGAGATCGCCTCGGTTGTGGAAGTGGAATTGTTGATTTGCTGTGGGGGAAGATGAATCCCAAGATCCACTCAAAATTTCAGAAACGTTCACGTTGAAGTCCCCAGGGAATCTTAGAGTCAATCAAGTATTTCCTTGGGCTGCATCTGGGCAGTCCCATTTTATTGAATGAAAAAAACGAAATAGATTTCGACGAAATGGTTGTTAAGGTTATACTGTAAGTGGTACAAACAAGAGAAAGGGGGAAGGGGACAAGGAGGCAGAGCTTGGGGTGGAAGGCAGAGGAGTTACAAATGGTTTCCTAGTGGAAGCTGAATGGATGCACGGAATAGGGTCCTGGGAGACTGTATTTGAAGTCTTAATTATGAAATTCATGTACACGTTAGTAGTATATTGGTACTTCAATCATAGAATCCGATTCACCTATAACAGAGCTATAGACCTACACGCCTGTCGACATATATACATTAAATTTATAGCTCCACTGAGCTACTGTAACAGGCTAGAGATCCTTCTTGAGGCAACGTTTGGTGAACGTAAAAAAAGGTTGCAATGCGTTGTTTTCTGTCTTTCGAACAGCCCACTGCCAGTGGACTCAGCGGTGGTGAGAGAGTGAGTCTCATTAAATATCAGTGCCACATCGTCCAGACCATATGGGTATCATGCAACTAGTACCCACGACATAGAGAGAGAGAGAGAGAGAGAGAGAGAGAGAGAGAGAGAGAGAGAGAGAGAGAGAGAGAGAGAGAGAGAGAGAGAGAGAGAGAGAGAGA